GGGACAGGCAGGGTGGTTCCACCTCCAGCTCTCGGAGGCTCCTCTTGCAAGGGGACGGCGCTGCAGCCACGTGGTATTTTCCTGCCTCCATCCAATTTCACAGGAGAAATCCAGGCATCTAGAGGAGGTAGCAAAGCTTTTCTTTTCTTCATTAGCTATGAAAACAAAGGGGCAAAATCTAGACGCCCTAGATGTAACTTCATTTACGGATTCAGAAAATCCACAAAGGCTGCCAAGGTGGAATGAATGAGAGGAGGGGGCGACCAGAAGGGAGAAGCCTGGGAAGGGGACCCCAGATCCACACGGACAATCCTTACTCCGTGATGCAGTGGGGGGTGGGGCAGGGAGTGAGGGAGGGTGGCCCTGCCATCTCCCAGGTGTCAAGGTGGTGGCAGCTCCACCCTCGGCGCAGCTGGCACCGGCCAGACCCACCACAGGCCCACTGAGGCCACTGAAGGAGTGGGGCTTTCCCACTCGGGAAGCTCCTACCCTCGCGCTCTGAAGCTGGGGGCGTCGGGGGACCCAGGCGGGGACCTGCGGCTCCACGCTGCAGCCCAGGCCCTGCTCCGGGCAGGAGGCGGTGGCTCCGGCTTCAGGTTTCAAGAGGGCAGCCATGCCAAAGGCTGGTTGATCCACTTGCACCCTACCTTGCTCTAGAACGCGGCGCAGGAGCAAAGATCCAAACTCCGGGTCCCCGGCAAACGGGGTCTCGGTTCTAACTTCAGCAGACACCCGGCACCGGGGCAGGCCAGGGCGGAGGCCGCCCGGACCCGGAGAGGCAGCGGCTCCGAGAGGGCCCGGGATGCGGGTCGGCGCCGGAGTCCGGTGCGCGGCCTCAGGGGGCAGGTAAGAGGCCGGCTGCTGCTCCGGAGCCCGGCGCGGTCCCTCCCTGCGCAGTCGGGACTCACCTGGGCCGCCCCCGCTCCCAGCCCTGGCCCGGCCGCCTACCTCGCCTACCGGAGCGTCCCGCGAGCCTCCCCGCGGCGCGCCCGAGTTGCTCAGCCGGTTCCGCGGGCCTCGGCGCGACGGCGTCGCCATGGCAACCGGGCGGCGGGCGGGGCGGGGTCCCGCGGCCGGAAGTGGCGCACGCAGCCCGCACCCCGGCTCAGGACTCGGCCCCGGGGCTGCCCCGCAAGTGCCAGGTACCCGCGGTGGCGGCCGCGCTCGGGACCCGGCCCTGCAGGCTCTGGGTTCGCAGCTGGGCGAACCGCGGCCACCGTGAGCCCGGCCTCTGGACCCGAGTTCGAGAAACCTTCGCCATCAGGGCCTAGCGACCCTCCCTGCGGGGCCCCTACGTTCGGGGGCGCGTGGGGTCTGCGGCTCGCGGGGCTGCCTCGAGGGCCGCGGGATTCGCCCGGGCTGGGGCGAGGCGGGGTGGGTGGGCCGGGCAAGCCCCGACTGCGCACGAAGGACCTGGGGTCTGCCAAGCCTGCGAGGCGGGATGGGCCCCGGGCTCAGAGGAAAGCGGGTGCCAGGGGCGAGACCCGCCGCCCTTCCCCGGCCTGGCCCCGCGCTTCCTGATTTTCTGGCTCCAGGTCTCCCCTTCTGCCCTCTACCTTCTTCCCTGCCCTGCCCTCGCCCTGCCCGGGTCCAGGAGGCCACTAGGTGTCAGACCCGGCTCGGGCCACGCCGCTGCTCCGGGAGCCCTGTGGGCACCTCCCCAGCCCCCACGGGGGAGACGACACTGTCGGGAAGGCCGGGACTAACCCCCGCCCCCGCTCCCACAGAGCAGCCTCCGGGGAACACCCGTGGGCGCGGAGGCCAAGACCAAGATCGGGAGCCAGCCCCTTCAGAGCCCAGTCCAGGCCCTCCGTCCAGGAAGTGCTGTGGGTAGATAAGGGGTCCAGATCAAGATTTCCTGCAAGCTGGGAACAAAGGGTTCTTTCCTGTCTGATGACGGGCCAGATGTAGCAAGCGCCTAGGGGTAGGAGAGAAATGGGGTTTCCTCCCCGCTAAGGGAAACCGGCCTCAGCACACGCCCTCCCCCACCTGCCCTCCCGGCACCAAGATTCTGGGAGGTGGGGAGGGCGGGGGGCAGGGAGACCTGCTTACTTGGATGTACTTTGTGTAGACCGTGGACTTCCCACAGGCAGTGGGCAAGAGATTCCCTGGGGATCCAGTACTCGCTTAGTACACAGAGAGCAGAGTCTCCAGCGCCATGCAAGACGCACAGGCATATCCACTGCACGTGGCACACTTTCCCACGGGCAGACACAGCGGAGCCCACCCCCTCAGAGAGACCAAACTTAAACCCTCCAGGAACAGAAAATGTTTAGGGTATCTCTCAGTTGGAGGAAATGAATGGGTAATTTAAGGTAAGAAACAGCTTCCGTAGCGTGCTAACAGGCAGAATGCCTGTGGATTGAAGCTGGAACTGAGCCATGTTCTTTGTTTGGTCTGTGGGTTCGGACTTCGAGGAGGAGGAGTCGGGACAGACTGAGCAAGTCTGAGTTCCCTGGTGACAGCCCTGGGCCTTCAGCCCCTTCCAAAGCCAGGAGAGACTCCCGCTGAGTGATGATGGGGACCCTTGAGCTTCCCCATGCCCTACGCCCCGGCAGCACTGGCCTGCAGGCCTTTCCCTTAGGAGGGAGAGCTGCTGTCTCCCTGTCAGCAGTGTTCTCAGGGGCCTGCTTCAAGTGGGTCAGGGTGGGTGAGGGTGTTCTGAGTGAGGGAGAGGCCTGCACACCCGATGCATGGGGAGCTCATGGCTACACCCAACCCATTTTAAAGAACAGGCGATGCCACCAAACTGCTGTCCAGCACCAGGGCCTGGAGGCCTTGCCACAGCTGCCAGATTCCCCAACCCAGGACAGCAGACACCCAGGATGACTGCCTTCCAACCCCATCCCTGCTGCCAAAGCTCCTGGCTTGGAAGCCTAAGAAGTGTGCACTCCTTCAGCTTGGGAAAGGTGGGAAAGGAGAGGACACCCCTGTCCTTTCCTAAGCGGCCCAGCATGAGCTCAAGCCTCCTGAGTTGAAATGCTGACTGCGTTTCTTGTGGAAACCCCTCCCTCCCCACACCTTGGAGCCACGCTAGCCTCTCTGCTCTCAGACGCACCAAGTTCACTCTCATCTCTCCATGGAATCTTCTTTCCTGGGTCATCACTGGGCTCATTCTTTCAAATCCCAGCTCAAGCAATCACCTCCTCAGAAGGCCTTTCCTGACCATCCAGAGGGCAGCTTGGGGCAGGGTTTGGGAGTGCTCCTGGATTCCTCCTGCTGGGAAGCCACGCCTAAAGTGCCCCCTGGTCTTTGACAGAAAGGATTTAAGGAGCAGGAAGCATCAAGGAAGTGGGCAGAATGTGAGCAGAGCTGGAGACTCAGGCACAGACCCACCTGACATCTGGCTAGTCACTTCCCCCTTGCTAGGGTTACCAGATTCAGAAAGTAGAGGAAAAAGTAGAAAAGGATTCCCAGTTACATTCAAATTCAGGCTGCATGAGTGGCTCACACCTGTAATCCCAGCACTTTGGGAGGCCGAGGTGGGTGGATCACCTGAGGGCAGGAGTTCGAGATCAGCCTGATCAACAAGGTGAAACCCCATCTCTACTACAAACACAAAAATTAGCCAGGCGTGGTGACAGGCACCTGTAGTCCCAGCTACTCAGAAGGCTGAGACAGAAGTGCTTCAACCCTGGAGGTGGAAGTGGCAGTGAGCCAAGATTACACCACTGCACTTCAGCCTGGGCGATGGAGCAAGACTGTCTCAAAAAAAATTCAAAAAATTCAGTTAGTTTTTTTTTAGCATGAGCATGTCCCAGATATTACATGCAGTATACTAAAGATGTATTCCGGCTGGGTGCCATGGCTCACATCGTAATCCCAGCACTTTGGGAGGCTAAGTCTGACCACTTGAGGTCAGGAGTTCAAGACCAGTCTGGCCAATGTGGTGAAACCCCATCTCTACTAAAAACACAATTAGCCGGGCATGGTGGTGGGTGCCTGTAATCCCAGCTACTGGGGAGGCTAACACAGGAGAATGACATAAACCCAAGAGGTGGAGGTGGAGGTTGAAATGAGCCAAAATCACGCCACTGCACTCCAGCCTGGGTGACAGACGAGAATCTATCTCAAAAAAAAAGATGTATTGCTCACATGTGACCAGACGTCCTGTGTCTCATCTGACAGTCCTGCTCCTCTTGCTCAGGTGTGGGACAGATGGGGTTGGGGCCTCCTGCAGTGCGAGCCCCTCCCAGCAATAACTTCCCCTCTCATCTCTGAACCAGTTAACCTCATTCAGCAGGGACTTCAGGCAGAGGCCTTGACCTTAGGCAGCAGAGGATACAAAGGCATCAGAGATGGATCCCCAGTCCTCAGACACAAGATTCAAACGCACACCATTCATTCTTGGGAAAGTTTTATTTTTGTACCTTCTCTGTGCCAGGTACAAGGTGAGATATTGGGGAACTGTGAACAAGACAGGCACCACCCCGTTCTCACAGGCCTTTCCTCAGGGGGAGCTACACAGAGACTTGGGGTGAGCCTTTGAAACACTCTGCCCAAGCCCATCTCTGACACCCTACAGAGGGGAAATCAGGATTAGGTACGGTGCGTAGGAGGGAACCTCAACCCAGATGTCAGGGTCAGGGAAGGCTTATTGGGCCACGACACAGAATTATCAAGCTAGAATATGCTCAGGTGTTAACCCAGCACAGACAGGCAGGAGTGTCCCTGGCTAGAGGAGCAAGGATGATGCGAGGGAAGGCTGTGGGGGCCTGACCTGCAACCCTTGGGGCTCCTGGGCTTATTTTCATGAGGATTTGCTGGAACCAGAGGAACTGTGCAGAGCTGAGCCACAGGTTGCAGAATCAGCACGCAGGAGCCAAGCCCTTTCCAGATCAGGAGGGGGCCTGCCCTGGGGGACCTCACAATTGACAGACACATCCCCCTGTGGTGGGAGCAGCTTTAAGCCCGAGGGCATCATCTTCCGGGCCTGCTCCCTGAGAAACTTGAAAGTAGGGGATTACTTTGATAAGCTTAAAATAGACCAATTAGGCTGGGCTTGGTGGCTCACACCTGTAATCCCAGCATTTTGGGAGGCCGAGGCAGGTGGATCCCGTGGTCAAGAGTTCAAGACCAGCCTGGCCAAGATGGTAAAACCCCATCTCTAATAAAAATACAAAAATTAGCCAGGCATGGTAACATGTTCCTGTAATCCCAGCTACTCAGGAGGCTGAGGCAGAGAATTGTTTGAACCTGGGTGGTGGAGGTTGCAGTGAGCCGAGATTGCACCACTGCACTCCAGCCTGTGTGACAAAGCTAGACACCATCTCAAAAAGGTAAAATAAATAAATAATAGACCAATTAATCACTCAGGGAGAAAATCTATCTCCCAACTTCAGGGGAAGGGAAAGAAAAGCAGCAGCACCGGCGGGACCCACCAGAACAGCCAGCAACACCCACAAGGCTTCCAGAGCCATGGTGAAGACCGTGAGCCACCTGCAGCCTCTGGAACGTGGCAGGAAGGAGGCTGAGGCACATCACTGCCTGTGAGGTGTCACCCTGTCCCTGGTTAACCCCAAGGCTGGTCCAGTCTGTGAAAAACAAGACAGACAAAAAGAGCCAAATAGCACTGCAAGAGGGATGGAGAAACCACGACAGTCAGGACAGTTAAGCCCCTTTTACCTCTGCTGGGCCCAAGGGAATGGGACATGGGACTGAGAAGCAGGGCTGGGGATCAGCTTCATGAAGGAGGTGGTACGACAGCCCTGGGCACCCAAAGCAAGAGGTGGCCAAAGGAGTGGGCTTCCCCAGCTGTCCAGTTCATTCCCGGGCAGCCCTCTGGGGAGCCTACCCTTTCCTCGGGGATTCCCTGCAGCCAGAGGAGCAGGGCAGAGCCTGGGTCACAGACTGCAGATCAGCACAAGGGAGCCAAGGACCAATCTGGAGGAGGTCTGTTTTCTGTCCTTCCTTTTTTT